CTGTAAGAGATTAATCTGCATACATTTTCAACTTTTGAGGGTGTTGTTGCTGCTGAAATTGTTTTATACTATTAATCTGCGTACATTTTCAACTTTTGAGGGTGTTGTTGCTGCTGAAATTGTTTTATACTCACCAATGTTTACTATCTATGGTTGATCAGGCTGCTGCTTTGAAAGGGTCTGACCATCGACGTGCCACTAATGTCAGTGCTAGACTTGATGCTCAACAAAAGAAGCTTAACCTTCCAATCCTCCCAACCACTACAATTGGTTCCTTTCCTCAGACCATCGAACTTAGAAGAGTTCGCCGTGAATACAAGGCCAAGAAGTGAGTGTTTTGCCTTGCTGTTCATTCGTATTCCTACATTCTTTTAAGTCCTTGATCTAAAGATACGATTCTTCCTTGTAGAATCTCTGAGGAGGAGTATGTGAAGTCCATCAAAGAGGAGATCAGCAAAGTTGTCAAGCTTCAGGAAGAGCTTGACATTGATGTTCTGGTTCATGGAGAGCCAGAGGTAAGCTATTAGAAGCTCTAGTCTGTGAAACATACAAAGAAAAATTGCTATTGTTTAGACTAGATGAGTAGTTATTTTGATGCATCCTTTAGGCACCAATAGTTTATCCATAAATATAACTTCTACTTTTTTGGGTGTGTAAATTCCAGAGAAATGATATGGTTGAGTACTTTGGAGAGCAATTATCTGGTTTTGCATTCACTGCTAATGGGTGGGTTCAATCTTATGGATCTCGCTGTGTGAAGCCACCAATCATCTATGGTGATGTAAGTCGCCCCAAGCCAATGACTGTCTTCTGGTCCACAGCTGCCCAGAGCATGACCAAGCGCCCAATGAAGGGAATGCTTACTGGCCCTGTTACCATTCTCAACTGGTCCTTCGTCCGAAATGACCAACCAAGGTACATGGGGGTACCTGCTTCCTTTGTCCCTCTACGCCGTTATTTGTAATATAAGAGAGGGAATAATTCTTTATATTTCTTTCTTGTCATTGAAATTATAATTGACTCGATATTTTCTTGGTTTCTAGATTCGAAACTTGCTACCAGATTGCTTTGGCTATTAAGGATGAAGTAGAGGATCTTGAGAAGGCCGGCATTACTGTTATCCAAATCGATGAGGCTGCATTGAGAGAGGGGTTACCACTTAGGAAAGCTGAGCATGCTTTCTACCTGGATTGGGCTGTCCACTCTTTCAGAATCACCAACGTAGGCGTCCAGGATAACACCCAGGTACTTTTCTTTTGTTCTTTCAATGCGATTATGCTTTAACTTTGGTCTCTTCATGTTTGGTACACTCAGCTCATTTAGTCATCTTTTATAATTGACAGATCCACACACACATGTGCTACTCCAACTTCAATGATATCATCCTGTCTATCATCGACATGGATGCTGATGTCATCACCATTGAGAACTCTCGCTCCGATGAGAAGCTCCTTTCTGTTTTCCGTGAGGGAGTGAAATACGGTGCTGGAATTGGGCCTGGCGTCTATGACATCCACTCCCCCAGGATACCATCAACAGAAGAGATTGCCGATAGAATTAAGAAGATGCTTGCAGTTCTTGAAACCAACATCTTGTGGGTTAACCCCGACTGTGGTCTCAAGACTCGCAAGTACACTGAAGTGAAGCCAGCTCTTGAAAACATGGTTGCTGCTTGCAAGCTTCTTAGATCCCAGCTTGCCAGTTCCAAGTGAGACGTTATCAGTACCTTCGTCTGAAATCCTCCAGTTCAGTATACCTCAAATGAGAATATTTCTACAGTTGAATAAACGCGTTCCATAATGAAAATTATTGAGTAGACGTAGTCATCCCTTCCCCGCGGGCATTTTGTTACCTTGTGTTTTGATTTCATTTTTTACGAGTTCCTGTATTACGAGGAGTATCGCCTTCAGTATGCCTTAGATGCTGCATAACTTGTAATTGTGACTCTGCGAGTGGGGACTAAAATGCCTTTCTCAGATTGCGCCATATAATATCCAGTTTTTATAATTTCCCCATAACTATTGCGTATGGTTTTCAACTATCCACTAGTATTTTTTCAACACAATTTTAAATATTAGTTATTACAAGCGGTTTCACAGTTTTGTTATGATAAATCTCAATTTTTGAGCATTGTTTTATTTGAGTTTCTATTTTGTTAGTTATTATTATGAAAGCGTTTCTTCTAATTAAAAGAGTTTTTACAAGAAGTTGGTCGAATGTGACTTTCTCTCAAAGCACTTTTAGAATAGAAAATTAGTTTTCAAATAAAAATTAAGATAATTTCCTTCAAAAATTATTTTAAAGGAAACAAAAGCAAAAGTTATCTCAAAGAGATCTTAAGCCTCTGCTTTAGTTTGAACTTATTTTTTCTCAAACTTGATTTCGTGGAATTCACAATCTTTTCAACTACAGATATTAGAATATATTAAAAATATGATATTTAAATATAACAAAAAGGGGCCAAGTGTTTGTACGTGACGATGGCATAAGATCAAATGCAAAGGCACGAGTTACATACAATAAAATAACACCTTCAACATATTCACAATCGAGAATTTATTTGCTAGCAACTTTTACCGTCTTGCCCACCTATTCAATTCCTTATAAATGGATATTTAAACGTCAAAGAGTGCTACTGTATGTACAGATACAAAAACTTTACAGATCACAAACATAGCAGGGGTGGTCATTTTTTGACACTATTTTATTCTACATGGGACCCACTCACATGTAAGACTTCTGTATGACTTCTATTAAATAATTTCTATACAATTAGAATTATTGAACGTCAAAACTTGTGCCACTACCAAGCTTTTCCATGTAACCAATAGACTTTGACGACAATAGTAAGAGACTAACAACAAGTATAATAGTTCCAATAGTCTTCGTTTGATCTTATTTTCAAACGGGACTATCTGGTTCAAGTGTTACTGAAAACTAGGGCTGGGCGTTATCCAATTCAATTCGGTTCTAATGAGAATTGAATCGGACCCGAAATTTTCAGGTATTTAGTAAGTGGAACTGTCAAGTCAAAATTTAATTTTGGAACATTTCAGGTTCGGTTGAGTTCGGTTCGGTTCTTAGGTTCTGTACTATAATTTGGCTGAGTTCTTCATAGGTTTGATTATTAAAATCACATGAAGACAAATATAACGAGTTCAATATAATTAAGAGAGATGCGTGCAGGTTCAATTCGATTTCTTTAAAACGTTAGAAATGACACTACTGTAGAATAACGGATTTGGGTAAAACTTAGCTCAATTTGATTTAAGTTAAGTTTGACTAAAAATTAAAAATACGAAAATCGTATTTGACTAGTTAACAAATTTATTTAGATAAACTAAAATAATTTGACTTATTTAAAATAAAATAAATTAAAAAAATTAGGGAGATTCAGTTTTTCAATTCTTGATCTAGAATTGAGACTGAGAATCGAACCAAACTCATCGGTCTCGATTCATATACCCATTCAAATATTTAATTTAAGAAGAATTGCTCGATTTGGTTTGATTTGCTTCGGTTCGATTCGGGTTCGGTTCTGGAATTTTGCCCAACCCTTTTGAAAACCTTGGCCATCACTCAATGTGTAGGCTATAATCAAAGCTTATGCTTCTATAAGTCTATTTAGAATATCAATGTTTGATGTTGCTCGAGCAATTAATTGGTCATGTTCAATAGACCTTGCATTATATCTAAGATGTTTTTCATGATCTCTAATTTGTTGGAAGAGGCTCCCAGAGTGTCAAGAGCCATGACATGACACCAGTTATTTCCTAGAACTTCTCTACGTTCAGTTAAAATAAGGAGGTAGGCTTCAGTACAGATTCAAAGCCACTGTCGTGCATCCTCCTTTCTTTACGACAATTCACTCCGACAACTTATATCTTCGTCTCTTTATCATCATCAAGAGACCACCACAGCGGCGTCATTGCCACATCAATGTTGTGGCAATGTCACTCTCCCTACCAATGGTGTCATCATTGTAGCGACGAGCGCTGTAATAACAACGTTAAGCTACCGTTCACAGCAACGCTCGATGTTTCGCAGTCATCACAACCGTTCAAGGGGATGCCATTTGAGACGCTGCTTTTGTTGGAGTAACAGTGTGCTTTCTTAGCGAGATACCGCTGCTGCGAGACAGCACAACACGTTGAGGTGTTCATCGCCATAATTGTTGTAGTTTTGGGGATGGTGGGATCTGAAAATGGAAGTCATCGTTGTGACGTACTAATCTATGCAATGTTCTTCACAGTGGTGGATTTTGCAACAAATTGGAGTCGGATAGAAGGGATGCCTATTGGTTGTGGCGGTTGTAGAGTAGGAGGATCTATGAGATTTTGTCGATTTGTGTTGGATTTAGTCGATTGATTTTTGGGGTGGTGGTTTTTGGCGGTGGTGCAGGTAGATCCAACAATGTTGGTAGTGGATTTTGGCACTGGTGAGGTGGTTGTTGCAAACGGTTGGAGTGCAGGTGGTGTCAGCGACGACAATCGAATGTGATGACGAAATGGCGATGGTGAGATGGTAGTAGCGGAGGTTATGGCCGTGGTTGTCATTGTGGATTAGTGGCGATGGTGGTCATGGTCGTGGCGATGATAGTGATGGTAGGTTTGGGTATTTTTTGGTTGGTGTTGGTGGTGGTGGTGGTGGTATGGTGGAGATTGTGGTTTTGATTCTTAGTATAGGCAGTGGTGGTCCTAGTGATGGTGAGATGGTGGTGGTGATAGGGGTGTGAGGTGTGTTGGGTTGGAGTTGTATAAAGAGTGACTGTGACCCATTATTTAGTTATTGTGATCAATAAATTGGTAAATTTATTACCAATAAATAATATATGACCAATAATTTGAGATCGTGACCAATAAATTGGATATTTTATGACCAATAAATAATATGTCACCTAAAAATTTGAGTCTTGATTTATAAAATTTGTGATTTGTAACCGATAGATAAATTGTTACCTCTAATTTTTTTTTTGACAGATGAATAAATTATGCCTTATGAAAATTTTGATTTGTGACCATAAAATAATTTCTGACCTCTAAAATTTTTTATCTGCGATCGAAAAATAATTTGTTATCAGTTAATTCGATAATTTGTAACCAAATAACATAGAATTGTGACCTAATACATTGAATTAATAAAATATATTTTAATTACTAATTTCATAAATGAAAAATAATTAATATCTGATTTTTGAAAATTGAAACCTTGTTTTTTAGTTTTGATATGGACCATACTTAATCTCTTATGGTGCCTTTGATTGCAAGCATGAAATTGTATGGAAAGAAAATAAATTATAGGTAATTAAATTGTATAGAATTTATTTATATGGAAATTGTCAATTAGAAGTGTTGATTGATTTCATTTTGAACTTAGAAAATATTATACTTGTCTGTTTTTTATTAGTAGGTAGATGAGAGAAAGTGAATTCCCTATAAAATAAAATCTTACTCCCCCTAAAGAAAATATTCTCTTTGATTTTGAGGGAAATATGGTCTCGTGACCAAAAATAGGAAAATATTTTATGTGAAAAAATATAATTAAACATCATAAAAGTAAGAATTTGAATAAATAAAAACACACATTTTTCATAAAAAATATTGACAATGAAACACATTTTGAAATTTTCCATTGTAATTTTCATGTGCAACGTAGTTAATGAAACTGTTCTTCTTTGCTAGGGCCATATGGGCCTCCTTGACCAAGTAGCAGGACCATAAACGGATAAACTTTATCTGCTGGATCGTTTTTCATAAAAATATCTTTAGATAAAATAGAAAATATTGCTTTTAATTTTAGTTTTTATTTTAATTTTTTTTCCATTCAGAAGACCATTTTTATAGGACGGATAACAAATTAGACCATAATAAAATTAAACAGCCTTAATTTGTTTTATATTATAAATAATACAATTATTGATGAATGATAATTATATCTCTGCAGTCCTCATTGTTATTCCTATTATATCCTTAATTCTTTTCTATAAATATGGGGTTTTGGATCACAATATAACACACATATGTCGATTGATTTCTCTAATTTCTTCTCTTTTTCTATATTTTATAACATGTTATCAGTATGATTATTTCAAAATCAAAATTGTGAATTAATTAGAAGGTAATAATTTTTATAAGGATAACTATTTGTCACATGTACCAAAATCAATTCGATGACATGTATATTTTTCTATACACATATGCATCAAAATGAAGCTGCTTTTTCTTCTTCTCTACTTTTTCACTTGTGTGATGCATATATAATGATTATTTTATTGTAGAATAATGATTTTTTAAAATTTTTTTTAATGCAAATCCATACATGCAATCATAACATAAATTTCTTCCCGAGAATTTTTCCTGACGTGAATTTCTTTCAAGCTCGTTGTTTTCCGTCCCAATCAATAATTTTTTCCCTGCTTATTGTTTTTCCCCGCAATTAACTTGTGTGTATGCAAAGGTTATCTTTATTTCATCCATTTAATTCATGTCTTTTGATTCACACATAATCAATTTTGCCAAATATTATTCACGTATTAATTCTGCCTTTAACTTCTATATATGTGGAATTCTTGTACGGCATTGTTGACACACTAAAAGTGCAGCTCAAATCAAATAACCCAAAGAGTGAAGCCCAATTGGGGAGTCCAGGATAAAGGTCCAAACAGGATTATTGATGAATACAGCGGAAGCCCATGAACACAGTAACATCATCGCCCAAGCTTGCAAGACGCCCAGAATCTGAGCGAATGGAGTGCCTTACAGTCGCCTAGAGCGATGATCCCGTTCTCGCCCAAACCTTCGAATCGCCCAGGATCTTAGCAAACATAAAATATTATGGTTATCCAGAATAGCAGTTATTGAGTAATCTTATCACATTCCACGATTCAAGGAGCCCAGTTGAAGGCAGTTGAACGACAAAGAGTAATGGCAGCAATTAGAGACGGTAATTCCACGACAAGTTAGCCACAATAAAGAAAGTGGGTAGTTATAAAGCAATCAAACAATTTTCAAGTGGTTTG